TCTCCTTCCTCCCCCTCTTCCTCCCCCTTATCCTCCCCCTCCTCCTTCCTCTCACAGCGTCTCATCATCTTTCCCACCCCACACACCTCCCCTGTTCTTTTTTAAAAGAATATGTATTTATTGATTTCAGAGAGGAAGGGAGAGAGAGAGAGAAACATCAGTGATGAGAGAGATTCATTGATTGGCTGCCTCCTGCACGCCCCACACTGGGGATTGAACCCGAAACTCAGGCATGTGCCCTGGTCGGGAATTGAACCCGGGACCGTCAGTCCGTAGGCCCACGCTCTACCCACTGAGCCACACCAGGTGGGGCCACCTCCCCCGTTCTTGCCTCTGTGTCTTTTATCCTCTTTTGCTCCAATTGTATCCAGTGTGTTGCCCAGCCCTCCCTCTGGTTATTTGTTGATGCTTTTGTTAAATTACAGATGTCCACGCGGAGCTTCCGTGACTAGTCCTGTTTCCTCTTTCTTTTCCTGGACGTATTCGCAATTATTTCAAGTCGGCACACGAGGCCCAGCCCCTCAGCCCGCGGGCTTCCTCCTTCCGGTGCCTTTGTCTCTGGGTCGCACTCTTCTCTGCCTGCACGAGCCTCGCTGGCTTTGGCTGCGTGGCCGGCGTCGTACGTGCAAACTTAGACGCTCGGTTCATTCCCAGGGACGCTTCCCACCGGCGACCCTGACCCGCGCGTCTCGAACAGGTGCGTCCCACGAGGGGCGGGCTGGGCCCCTGAACGATCTACTTGAGCTTTAAAAACACACCGACTTCAAGACGCCCCGCTCCCCTGTATTCCCAAGGGCACCCCGCTTTGTTAAAGGAGCTGGAGAGGGACCGAGGGCAGGTCGCCGTGTTGCTGGCCCTTGTGTGGCTTTGGCCTTGGAAAACCCCTAAAAGTCCCTCAAAGAAACAAATTGCATTTTTAACCCCAAATCCAAAGGCACCAAACAATGAGCGTCTGCACACTGTGAACCCACGAGGCCACGGGCTGCGGCTGCCAGCGACTTTGTTTATTTTCCTTCCGTGTTTGAGGAGAATGAAGGGCGAGGTCTTCGCTTTGCGTGGAAAGAGGTCCCGCGAGGCTCACGGCTTCTGTCTTTCACCCCCTCCACCCTCCCCCTCGCTCGCCTGCCCCACCGAGGGGCTCCTGGGTCCGAGAGGTGACCCACAGCCCCCAGGCCCGGGCCCATCTGCAGGGACCCTCACTGCCCTCCTGGACCCGGTGGGTCAGTCTCCTCTGCAGCTGGGCACAGGGAGACAGGGGCCCTGTGCCCATGGGGGCCACGCGTACTCGTCCTGTGGCCCATCAGCTTCCTAAGAAGAGAAATGCCAGGTGCGTGTGAAGCCTGTGGTTGGTTCAGTTGGCGACACTAAAACACAAACTAAAACCAAACACCAGCAAAAGCACGTTGTGGGCCCGGCTGGTCACCTGGCTTTCCGTGGCCCGGCCGCTGCTCAGCCTCCCCACCTCAGGTCGCTGCGTCTGCGGAACCGGCCGCTGTCCTCCTGCCCCGCCCCCTGCTCATGGCTCGGGGGGCTGCGCCATCTGGCCACCCCACCTCCCTCTCCTGGTCCCCTCCTCTGCACCCGTCCTGCCCGGAGCAGGGCCTGCAGGCTCCTTGCTAGGCGGGCGATGGTCTTGGTGCCCGTGGCCCGCGGCCAGGCCTGGGGAGGAGCGTGTGAGTGAACGCAGGACGGCGTTTTCCAGTGATTTTAAAAGCATGGGCTTCTAGGTCTGTTCTGGCCACATAGCTTTTTTCCATTTTGTCTATAATGAGTCACAAAGATTAACTAGCTCTAACCTTGTTTTCAACCATGAATTAAATTTAAAAAACCTTTAATCAGTAATTTTTGAACGAGTGTTAAATCTGAATAATGAGTTTGAACTCTTTTAAACGGAAATGTTCAGGAACTGAGGGCCCAGGTCTGCTGGGAGCAGGGGCAGGGCGGCCACTTCACACGGAGCCCGAGCCCCCAGGGAACCCCCTGCACGCCCCAGGCCTGGAGCCCCTGGATGTTCTAACAGGCCGAGCGGCCTTACCTTCACTTGGCCTCAAGCAACAGTGTTTCCCAGGAGCTGGGAGCAGGGATCACAAGACAGAGGTGCCATGACTGCGGACGGAAAACTAAACACTGTTTAGAGCAGCGGTTCTCAACCTGTGGGTCGCGACCCCTTTGGCGGTCGAACGACCCTTTCACAGGGGTCGCCTAAGACCATCCTGCATATCAGATATTTACGTGACGATTCATAACAGTAGCAACATTACAGTTATGAAGTAGCAACGAAAATAATGTTATGGTTGGGTCACAACATGAGGAACTGTATTTAAAGGGCCAGAAGGTGGAGAACCACTGATGCAAAGGTTCCCCTTCCCTTTCCCATAAAGGCCCGTCGCCCGGCCATCGGAACCTGGGCTTCCGCCGGCACGAGCTCCCCGAGTCCCCGTTCTTCGTCCCTGAAGGACGGCTGCCGCCTCTCCCTCTGAAAGGCCGCGTGCGTCTGTTAAAATAAAGTTTCTCATTTTGAAAAGTAAAAGGTTGAATCTGACTTTAGAGTCCACTTTTATTTATTGTTTCAGGAACCTGCAAACGTACCCGTGTGGGAGTGTGTGCGTGCATGCACACACACGCACACGCGTGCGCACACGCACACGCGCGCACACAGCACTGCTGGGCTAGAAGCCAGGTCCTGCTGTGTTTTCTTGGGACAGAGCTTCCCCACTATTCCCCTCCCGTCTCTTCCTGCTCAATCCACATCCAAGAGCTGCTCGCTCTCCTTTTCTCTCCCCCCCCCCCTTTATTGTGTGAGTAATTGGTGCAGAGATTGACTAACGGGTTAATCAGAATCCATTGTTCTTTTGACATGATCATCATTGGGCCATAGTTGGTTAGAAGCGAGATGGTATTAACTGTGCAGTAAGTGTCTGTACATCCAACACCCCAAGCACATTCTAGGACAGGGGTAGGCAAACTTTTTGACTCGAGGGCCACAATGGGTTCTTAAACTGGACCGGATGGCCGGAACAAAAGCATGGATGGAGTGTTTGTGTGAACTAATATAAATTCGGAGTAAACATTACATAAAAGGGTACGGTCTTTTTTTTTTTTTAGTTTTATTCATTTCAAATGGGCCAGATCCGGCCCGCGGGCCGTAGTTTGCCCACGGCTGGTCTAGGACCTCGTCTGGAGGAACACCTACCCTCCACCCCGACCTCCACACGCACCCTGTTCTCCCTCTTATATTATTTTATTTGATTTACATATATTGCATATTCGTGTAGTATTTTTGCTAAAGTATATTTTATTTTTTAAACTTTGTAAAAAGCATTGCTCTGTGCTGAACGTGTAGCTCTTTGAACTTGCTGTGATGTATTTCTGTTGTGCGTGGCTCAGCTTCCTCCCTTCCTCCCATACAGAGCCCCGTGTGAGCTCCCGTGTGCCATCCCTCCCCACGTAAAGGGGCGGCAGCCGGTCGCCCGTCACTCCGAGTTGCCGTGCGGAGGGGAGAGGAGACGCACAGACAGCGGCCGTGCTTGTGAGCCGCGTGACGCAGGGTCTGCCTCGACACGGGCAGCGAGCCGGTCTCCTCGGCGTAGGCGCTGTCCCCAGGGGAGGCGAAGGCGGATAACGCACAACGGCATCAGCAGAAACATTTACCAAGAAGCATTTGAAACGTGGAATCTTCACGAAACCTCAGTGTTCAAACACCAAAAACGGTAGAAGGTGGTGGTCCGAGCACCTGGTGAGTTCTTAGGAAACGATGCGAAGACAATGGAATGAATGCGTGCACGTGTTCAGCGCCCCGGGGGTTTAAACACCCTTCCCTTTTCCCAGCCAAATCCTGTTTGTTTCCTTCAGAGCCAGCCCGACACACAGTGTGGGACAAGGCACCGGGATTCCGCGCTTCCCACTGGTATGTGCTGAGTCATCGCTGGTGGGAACAGTTCCTTTGCATGAAACGCCCATAAAAGATCCAGGAAAGTTCGGTTCTTACAGGGTCGCGGTGACTAATGGCAGCAGGAAATGCTTTCCTACCGTCCCACGTCTGCACACACCTGCCGGGCCGTTCCCAGCGTCCTCCCCGACGCGGAGGCTGCCTCGTGCCCCCGACGGGAAGTGTTCTCCTCCCCGAGCGTGTTCCCGGGCGCTGTCCCAGGCGCTGCGTCTACGGTTCGTAACCCCATGGGTACGGCGCTCACTCGCACGGCACAGGTGGCCCAGCGGGAGGTCTCTGGTACTGGCAGCGTCACGTGGATAACGTGTGGCTAGCATGTGGCTAACGTGTGGCAGCTGGTCTGTATGCAGTGGAACGGGTGAGTCCACCTCCCTGCGACCGTGTGAGAGTGACTCCCTTCATTACAAATAAGCGTGACTTGGTTCTCGTGACACCGTGTGTCAGGGGTCGAATTGCACCCCCCCCCATTCCTATGTTGAAGCCCTAACCCCAGCACTGAGGATGGGGCCTTCTCTGGATGTAGGGTGTTTACAGAGACAGTCAGATTAAAGAAGGCCTGATAGGACCGCTGTCCTCATGGGGAGAGGAATGAGGACACAGACACAGGGAGGACCCTGTGAGGACACGGGCAGGCGGCTTGAACCCCCGGCCGTGGTGCTGTTAGGACTGCCCAGTGGGCCAGTGCAGGACGTCTCCCACGGTAGTCACTGTCCCTCCAGCCTCAGCCACGATGCCCTTAGTAAAGTCGCCGATTAAAACTTCAGGTGGTGTCCTGGCCGGTGTGCGCAGTGGATGGAGCGTGGGCCTGAGGAGAGAGGGTGGGGGGGAGGAGGAGGAGGAGGAGGAAGAGGAAGAGGAATAATAATAATACCGGAGCCTAATACCGGAGCCCGAGGAGCGGTGAGTGAGGAAGGTGAAGATGCGGAGAAGCTGGGTATGGATGGAAGAGGGCGGGGTGAGCAGCGAGCCCTCCGCTCGCAGCCGGGGTGTCGGGGGCGTGGCTGCGCGTTGGGCTGGAGGCCCCACTCGGGGTGTCGAGGACTCGGGAGCAGGTCAGCTGTGGGTGGAAACACGTATTGGAGGTGGGGGCGCCCTGCTGGTCCAGGGACGTGCTGTTCAAGGGGGAGCCACCCAGGTTGCTGCCCGCAGGCTCCCCAGGGGGGCGCGGCAGCCACGAGTGCGGAGGAAGGTGACCACCTCGGGGCTGGTGACCCTCCTTTTCCTTCCTTGTCCCCAAACATCGGGAAGAACCACCTTTTGCTGCTTTGGGCTCCTGATGGGCTCAGAGGTGTTGCCACGTGAGTGGCCTCTGGCCAGATCGGCGTTTCCCGCCCGAGCCCCGGGCGGAGGAGGAGCCCACCTCCGGCCAAGCGGGGACCCAACCTCACGAGCCCTCACCCTCACCGCCAACCGTGCCACCACCAGCCCCA